AAAAAAAAAGTTTCTCCTTTTACATTTTTGTAATATAACAGGAGAAGAGGTTACTAGCCCCCTTTCTCCGCATTTTTGTCGCCTCTTACAACACGCATGTTACGGGGGAAAATTTTTGTTCCACTTCCCCATGAGAAAAGGGGAAAAAACAAGAATAAGAACTAAAGAAAAAAAGAAAACCCAAGGGTGGTATATATGGCTTGTACATGTAGTTGTGGACCAAGGTGATAGAAGAGCAAACGTACCTGAAATCTTCATGTTCAGAACAAAAAAAGGCACCACAAACCTACCATCAGAAAAAAAAATTTCAGGCTTTTTGTTTTTAAAACTCCTTTGGGAGGCGGTAGTACCCCCCCCTGGCGGTTGCGTCTACCAACCTACTCCCAGGGGTTTTGAAAAATATAATTTAATAATTTTTTTAACATGAATCAGTGGACCCCCCGGTTAACGAGTTTTTTTTAAATCCCGAATATGTTCAAAGGTCCAGTAGACCGAATTTGTTCCCATAAGGAATATTGTGAATAGATAGTCCCCTTTTAGACCCCCAAAAAACACATACAAAACCCCTTACATAAATACCACATAATTGGGGCCATTCGGGGTGATTTTTATGCGGGGGGGCCACTGTATTAATGTAAATTTAGCAAACTTTACATTAAAAAAAATACTGTATAAATGTAAAAAAGTTTGGAGGGGGGAGAGGGAAATTGGGGGGGCCAGGGGCCTTTTTTGACTAGAAAAAGAGGTTTGGTAATAAGTAATACATATTTTATGAAAAAAGGGTAAATAAATATACATAACCTCAAATATCGAACTTTCTTTGTTCCAGATGGCTGTTCGAGTGCCGTTACTGAAAGAATTTTTCCCATCAGGGAAAAATGAAATTAGATTTGTTCATTTTAGACCCCAAAAAACACTTATAAAACACATATAAAAATACACCACATAATTGGTTTTATTGGGGGCAGTTTTGATATTTGAGGTTCCACTGTACAAAGGATGATATCACTAATGAAAGAGGGTTTTAATAATTATTGGGGGGATAAAAGGGTTGAGAGAGGCTTCAGGATGTACAGTTTTTAGAGGGGCAAAGAATTTGGATCATTATTTATTTAGCGCGTTAGAGTAAAGGGAGATGGGACAAAAGGAAAATTGCAAAACAAGTAAAGAGAGTGAAAGGTTAAACTAAGGGAGGGGGAAGTTAGGGTGAGATAAAACAACTATTGGGAAAAGGTGGGCTAATGCAATATGAGTAAAGGGGGGGAGGGGGCTTTTCGAGGTTGGATAGGTTTTAAAAAAGGGGTATTAGAAGTGGGCTGAAAATTTGGGCTATAGGAGGGGGTGCAGGAGGGAAAAAGGAGTGATTGAGGGAAAAGAAGTAAAGGGTGGTAAAAGAGAAAAAGGGAGCTTATAGAGGGGTTTTTTCAAAACAAATGTGTAAAAGAGCAAGTACTGTTATGGAATAAAAGAAAGGGGAAGAGAGTAGAGTGCAAAAGGAGAGCAGAAAAGATGGGAGAGGCACGACCAAAAAAATTTTTCTGAAAAAAAGAAAAAAATTGAGTGAGATAAACAAGTTTAAAAAAGCCAAAGGAAAAATGGGTTGTCTTAAAAACAGATAGGGGGGTTATAGAAAGGGGAGCTGGAGGGTTTTGGGGAGATGGAGGAATATTTGAGGAATTTTAAATATTGAGATGAAAAAGGAGGCGGCAATTTCATCACTGGTCAGGAGGTATAACATCTTTTTGGATGAAAAAAGCAGGGCTGAGTGTGGGGGGGTGCGTAGATTACGTAGAATGAAAAAGGGGGAAAGCAGCAAACTGATGGGGTCATGACAAAATGTTAAAAGCAGGGGGGGGTGTGTGTTGGAGTAGTTGGTATTTTTGTTTAATAAATGTATGAAAGAGGGGAAGGAAACGTAGGGTTTGGGCGGACATGGTATAGTTCCTTTATATAAAGGGAAGGGGGACAAAAGAGATTGTAAAAATTATGGGGGAATAAGTTTGTGGAATGTTAAATGTTGATAAAGATAGGGAGGCTGTGATTTCATGTAAAAGGGGACCCCCGATTAACGATATTTTTTCATTCCAGAAGTATGTTCAGGTGCCATACTGACCGAATGTGTTTCCCAAAAGGGAATATTGTGAAGTAGATTAGTCCATTTCAGACCCCCACACATACACTACAAACCACTTATATAAAAAACACTTACATAATTGGTCGCATTGGGAGGTGATCGTTAAGCAGGGGTCCACTGTATAGGGCAAGGAGGAATAATAACATCTTGCAGGAGTGAGGAAGAGCCAGTTGTCAGTGTGGGGAAGTTCATGAGGCAGTGGGCAGGATGAAAAGGGGTAAGGCAGCTGGGATTGATGGGATAAAGATAGAAATGTTACAAGCAGGGGAAATAGTTTTTGGAGTGGTTGGTGCTATTATTTAATAAATGTATGGGCTATTTCGCCCACTTTGAGCCCTATTTTTGGCAATTCCAGTGTACTAGTCGACAAAAATCTATCTATTTCACTAGAACTCCATTTTTTCTATCGAATGAGTACAAGAAACCACCCATTTAACGATATCAACTGTCCAGTAAAGTAGTCAGAAATTGGCAATTTTGGCAATTTCACACAAATTTCAGAAGATGCCAATTTCCAAATAGGGTCCAGAATAAACAAGACAGACATTCCTGGCACTAAAATAACATTTCCTCTGTTCATTAGTCACGTCCCCACGCCCCTGTTACATCTCATTTGCTTTCCACTTTGAATTTTTATTCTTGCAAAAAATAGATGATTTACTGTTATGCAGACTACTGCATTAGTGTAGAAATGGTATAAATAATATCAGCGCACTTGTGAAAGAATATTAGACTCGCCAGTTGACATATATTGGACACTTGGCATGATTTGTTTACTTTTGAACTTTGGTAAAAATTGAACATTTCTGCTACTTTGAGCTCAATTTCAAGGTACTTTTCATTATGAAGCCAATCAAAATCATCACAATTTCTGTAATATATCTCCCATTCTATAAAATGAGACCAGGAAAACTAAAATTTATTATTATTATTATTTCACACTGGCCGATTCCCACCAAGGCAGGGTGGCCCGAAAAAGAAAAACTTTCACCATCATTCACTCCATCACTGTCTTGCCAGAAGGGTGCTTTACACTATAGTTTTTAAACTGCAACATTAACACCCCTCCTTCAGAGTGCAGGCACTGTACTTCCCATCTCCAGGACTCAAGTCCGGCCTGCCGGTTTCCCTGAACCCCTTCATAAATGTTACTTTGCTCACACTCCAACAGCGCGTCAATATTAAAAACCATTTGTTCTCCATCACTCCTATCAAAAAAACCCTCAGCATGCCTGCTGGAAGTCCAAGCCCCTCGCACACAAAACCTCCTTTACCCCCTCCCTCCAATCTTTTCCTAGGCTGACCCCTACCCCGCCTTCCTTCCACTACAAACTGATACACTCTTGAAGTCACTCTGTTTCGCTCCATTCTCTCTACATGTCCGAACCACCTCAACAACCCTTCCTCAGCCCTCTGGGCAACATTTTGGTAATCCCGCACCACCTCCTAACTTCCAAACTACGAATTCTCTGCATTATATTCACACCACACATTGCCTCAGACATGACATCTCCACTGCCTCCAGCCTTCTCCTCGCTGCAACTTTCATCATCCATGCTTAACCCCCCATATAAGGCATTGTAAAAACTATACTCTCATACACCCCCTTTTTTGCCCCCAAGGACAAAGTTCTTTGTCCCCCAAATCCAAGTGCACCACTCACCCTTTTCCCCTCATCAATTCTAGTTTCCCTCATCTTCATAGACCCATCCCCTGACACGTCCACTCCCAAATACGAATACATCCCCTCCTCCATACACCTCCCCCAATCTGATATCCAATCTTTCATTACCAAAACTTTTTGTTACCCTCATAACCTTACTTTTTCCCTGTATTCACTTTTAATTTTCTTCTTTTGCATCCCCTACCAAATTCATCCCCCAGTCCTGAAACTTCTCTTAAAAATCCCCAAAGCACATTGCATCAGCAAAGAGCAACGTGACAACCCCCATTTTGTGTGATTCTTATCTTTTAACTCCACGCCTCTTCCCAAAGCCCTCGCATTTACTCTTTTACAACCCCCCCCTATAAATATTTTAAAACAACCACGGGACATCAACTCCTTGTCTAGGCCTACTTTTTTTGGGAAAAAATTTTTCCCTCTTTCCTACATATCAACTTGGCCTCACTATTCCTCGAAAAAAACTCTTCACTGCTTTCAGTAACCCCTCCTACACCATACCCTGCAACATCTCTACTTACCCCCCTATCCCACCCTGTCATACCCCTTTTTTCAAAAATCCAAAAATGCCACAAAGACCTCTTTACCTTTTTAAAATTTCACTTTTGTGTTTTCATGTAAACACCTGGCCACACACCCCCTACCCTAAAATAAAACCCTAAAATACCCCCCAAAAATTTCAACCATAAAAAACCATATAAAAATTCACTGAAAAGTCGCTTTTTTAAACCAAAAACACGTTTGGAGTTGGTTTTTTTTCTCATTTTGTTTGTGTGCGGGAGGATTTTTTTTTTTTATCTGTGCCACTGACTACATAGACCCTTCTTTCATATGTGGCCTACCCCTTCTCTCACAAATTTTAAAGGGGCAAAATTTAGGCGTACTAGCATGTCAATAACCCTGGTGGTAAGCCATACTAATACGTCAGAAACCCTGAAAGGGTTAATAAAAATATAGTCTTATAATATTATTTTATAAAAAAAATTTTCCAAGAAAGTAAACAGGGATTTTAGGCACTTTTAACTACAGACTGGATATTGATAATCAGTGTCTAGACACTTCGTATTCACATTTGCAGGAAGAATTCAGTTAAAGAATTAGTATGAAAATTCTTACTTGGCTCTTTTGTTTAATCAACACATCATCTGTATTTTAGAAAATACTAGAAACCAGTCCAATGTACAGATGAAAAAGTGAAGATAAGTAATTTTTTTTTTTTCAGAGGGTCTCGCACAAGCTCAGAGAGAGATGCACTCGTATATCTATCAAGAGAGAACCCAGACATTGCTGATGCTCAGTACACAAAGAACCAAGCCTGGAAATCAGATGCTGTTTGTATTATATTTTTTCATTTGGATAGTGTTTAAGCTTAAATAGAATTTCATATATGTTTTTAGCTAAGTAATACTGTTTTTGCTATAGACAGTTGAACACTAAAATGTCTTGCAGTCCCATTGAACACTCATGGCAGGCTCCAGAATATCCAACCTTGCTAATATCAGTTCCAGTGGATTCTAGTTTGCATTTCTGAATATTCCACCCACTTATAGTATACACTCAGCAGTTCTGAATGCAATGCCACTCCCAACAGTTTAACCACCCATTAGAATTTTGTTTTAACAGGTATTCTTTCAATGTGTTTTCATCATAATTTGATGGATAAGTGAAAGCTTTGGCAAGTGTTGCATATAGTTTGTGGAATAGATGGAAGCATAGTATATTTCAAGAAGTACTAAACCAGTGTAGGTAGAACCTCAATGAGTGGCAGAGGCTTGATCATGTATCTGCTAATTGTGGCTCTATCTCTGAAAAGCCAGGATGTTGGTGTTAGTAAAAGTGGGTGTTGAACAAAAATGCTGTAAATAATTAGTGGTACAAAGATATTTGTACTTGCACAACACATCTGGGAGGAATTACTAAGTGGACGAGGTCTCTGACGGCCATCTCCTTTGGTGCATGCTTTCTGCAGACAATTCTCATAAGCTTGGACCTTTAGTACAGTACAGTGGACCCTCACCTAACAAATGCATCGCATAACGTTAAATCCGCCTAGCGATACATTTTAACGCAAAAATTTTGCCTCGGCTAGCTCTAAAAAACTCGCTCAACGCGATTCGTTCGAGACGCATCCACGTGCGGCCTGAGCACGCCTCACTTGTTCCGTGAGTGCCAGTGTTTACAAGCCAGCCACCGCGGTCGCTTCCAAGCATACAATCGGAACATTTCATATTATCACAGCCTTTTTAGTGATTGCACCTGCAAAATAAGTCACCATGGGCCCCAAGAAAGCTTCTAGTGCCAACCCTACAGAAAAAAGGGTGAGAATTACTATGGATATGAAGAAAGAGATCATTGCTAAGTATGAAAGTGGAGTGTGTGTCTCCGAGCTGGCCAGGTTGTACACAAAACCCCAATCAACCATCGCTACTATTGTGGCCAAAAAAACGGCAATCAAGGAAGCTGTTCTTGCCAAAGGTGCAACTTTGTTTTCGAAACAGAGATCGCAAGTGATAGAAGATGTTGAGAGACTGTTATTGGTGTAGATAAACGAAAAACAGATAGCAGGAGATAGCATCTCTCAAGCGATCCTATGTGAAAAGGCTAGGAAGTTGCATGAGGATTTAATTAGAAAAATGCCTGCAACTAGTGGTGATGTAAGTGAATTTAAGGCCAGCAAAGGTTGGTTTGAGAGATTTAAGAATCGTAGAGGCATACATAGTGTGATAAGGCATGGGGAGGCTGCCAGTTCGGACCACAAAGTGGCTGAAAAATTATTTTTTATTTTTTTTTATTTATTATCACACTGGCCGATTCCCACCAAGGCAGGGTGACCTGAAAAAGAAAAACTTTCACCATCGTTCACTCCATCACTGTCTTGCCAGAAGGGTGCTTTACACTACAGTTTTTAAACTGCAACATTAACACCCCCTCCTTCAGAGTGCAGGCACTGTACTTCCTATCTCCAGGACTCGAGTCCGGCCTGCCGGTTTCCCTGAACCCCTTCATAAATATTACTTTGCTCACACTCCAACAGCACGTCAAGTATTAAAAACCATTTGTCTCCATTCACTCCTATCAAACCGCTCACGCATGCCTGCTGGAAGTCCAAGCCCCTCGCACACAAAACTCCTTTACCCCTCCTCAACCTTCCTAGTCCGACCCCTACACCGCCTTCCTTCCCCTACAGACTGATACACTCTTGAAGTCACTCTGTTTCGCTCCATTCTCTCTACATGTCCGAACCACCTCAACAACCCTTCCTCAGCCTCTGGACAACAGTTTTGGTAATCCCGCACCTCCTCCTAACTTCCAAACTACGAATTCTCTGCATTATATTCACACCACACATTGCCCTCAGACATGACATCTCCACTGCCTCCAGCCTTCTCCTCACTGCAACATTCATCACCCATGCTTCACACCCATATAAGAGCGTTGGTAAAACTATACTCTCATACGTTCCCCTCTTTGCCTCCAAGGACAAAGTTCTTTGTCTCCACAGACTCCTAAGTGCACCACTCACCCTTTTCCCCTCATCAATTCTATGATTCACCTCATCTTTCATAGACCCATCCGCTGACACGTCCACTCCCAAATATCTGAATACATTCACCTCCTCCATACTCTCTCCCTCCAATCTCATATCCAATCTTTCATCACCTAATCTTTTTGTTATCCTCATTACCTTACTCTTTCCTGTATTCACCTTTAATTTTCTTCTTTTGCACACCCTACCAAATTCATCCACCAATCTCTGCAGCTTCTCTTCAGAATCTCCCAAGAGCACAGTGTCATCAGCAAAGAGCAACTGTGACAACTCCCACTTTGTGTGATTCTTTATCTTTTAACTCCACGCCTCTTGCCAAGACCCTCGCATTTACTTCTCTTACAACCCCATCTATAAATATATTAAACAACCACGGTGACATCACACATCCTTGTCTAAGGCCTACTTTTGCTGGGAAATAATTTCCCTCTTTCCTACATACTCTAACTTGAGCCTCACTATCCTCGTAAAAACTCTTCACTGCTTTCAGTAACCTACCTCCCACACCATACACCTGCAACATCTGCCACATTGCCCCCCTATCCACCCTGTCATACGCCTTTTCGAAATCCATAAATGCCACAAAGACCTCTTTAGTCTTATCTAAATACTGTTCACTTACATGTTTCACTGTAAACACCTGGTCCACACCCCCTACCTTTCCTAAAGCCTCCTTGTTCATCTGGTATCCTATTCTCCGTCTTACTCTTAATTCTTTCAGTAATAACTCTACCATACACTTTACCAGGTATACTCAACAGTCTTATCCCCCTATAATTTTTGCACTCTCTTTTGTCCCCTTTGCCTTTATACAAAGGAACTATGCATGCTCTCTGCCAATCCCTAGGTACCTTACCCTCTTCCATACATTTTTTAAATAATTGAACCAACCATTCCAAAACTATATCCCCACCTGCTTTTAACATTTCTATCTTTATCCCATCAATCCCAGCTGCCTTACCCCCTTTCATTCTACCTACTGCCTCACGAACTTACCCCACACTCACAACTGGCTCTTCCTCACTCCTACAAGATGCTATTCCTCCTTGCCCTATACACAAAGGAGGCCTGGTCACAGACCGGGCCGCGGGGGCGTTGACCCCCGGAACTCTCTCCAGGTAAACTCCAGGTAAACACGAAATCACAGCTTCCCAATCTTCATCAACATTTAACAATTCCTCAAAATATTCCCTCCATCTTCCCAATACCTCTAACTCTCCATTTAATAACTCTCCTCTCCTATTTTTAACTGACAAATCCATTTGTTCTCTAGGCTTCCTTAACTTGTTAATCTCACTCCAAAACTTTTTCTCATTTTCAACAAAATTTGTTGATAACATCTCACCCACTCTCTCATTTGCTCTCTTTTTACATTGCTTCACCACTCTCTTAACCTCTCTCTTTTTCTCCATATACTCTTCCCTCCTTGCATCACTTCTACTTTGTAAAAACTTCTCATATGCTAACTTTTTCTCCCTTACTACTCTCTTTACATCATCATTCCACCAGTCGCTCCTCTTCCCTCCCGCACCCACTTTCCTGTAACCACAAACTTCTGCTGAACACTCTAACACTACATTTTTAAACCTATCCCATACCTCTTCGACCCCATTGCCTATGCTCTCATTAGCCCATCTATCCTCCAATAGCTGTTTATATCTTTCCCTAACTGCTTCCTCTTTTAGTTTATAAACCTTCACCTCTCTCTTCCCTGATGCTTCTATTCTCCTTGTATCCCATCTACCTTTTACTCTCAGTGTAGCTACAACTAGAAAGTGATCTGATATATCTGTGGCCCCTCTATAAACATGTACATCCTGAAGTCTACTCAACAGTCTTTTATCTACCAATACATAATCCAACAAACTACTATCATTTTGCCCTACATCATATCTTGTATACTTATTTATCCTCTTTTTCTTAAAATATGTATTACCTATAACTAAATCCCTTTCTATACAAAGTTCAATCAAAGGGCTCCCATTATCATTTACACCTTGCACCCCAAACTTACCTACCACATCCTCTCTAAAAGTTTCTCCTACTTTAGCATTCAGGTCCCCTACCACAATTACTCTCTCACTTGGTTCAAAGGCTGAAAAATATGTGCAGGAATTCAAGGAGTACATAGTGAAGGACTGAAACCTGAATAAGTGTTTAATTGTGACAAAACAGGCCTGTTCTGGAAGAAAATGCGAAGCAGGACCTACATTACTGAGGAGGAAAAGGCACTCCCAGGACATAAGCCTATGAAAGACAGGCTTACTCTGTTGATGTGTGCTAATGCTAGTGGTGATTGCAAAGTGAAGCCTTTATTGGTGTATAACTCTGAAACTCCCAGAGTTCAGGAAAAACAAAGTCCTCAAGACTAATTTGTGTGTGCTGTGGAGAGCAAACAGTAAGGCATGGGTCACTATGGACTTTTTCTATGACTGGTTACACCATGCATTTGCCCCCACTGTGAAAAATTACCTAATTGAAAAGAAATTATACCTTAAGTGCCTCCTGATATTAGACAATGCTCCTGGTCATCCTTCAGATGTGGCAGAGCGACTTTCTGCAGAAATGAGCTTCATTAAAGTCAAGTTTTTGCCTCCTAATACCACTCCTCTCCTGCAGCCCATGGACCAGCAGGTCATTTCCAACTTCAAGAAACTGTACACAAAAGCTATGTTTGAAAGGTGCTTTGTAGTGACCTCAGAAACTCAATTGACTCTAAGAGAGTTTTGGAGAGATCCTCAATTGTGTAAACATTATAGGTAAGGCTTGGGAGGAAGTGACTAAGAGGACCTTGAACTCTGCTTGGAAGAAACTGTGGCCAGAATGTGTAGACAAAAGGGATTTTGAAGGGTTTGAGGCTAACCCTGGGAATCCTATGCCAGGTGAGAAATCCATTGTGGCATTGGGGAAGTCCTTGGGGTTGGAGGTTAGTGGGGAGGATGTGGAAGAGTTGGTGGAGGAGGACAATGACAAACTAACCACTGATGAGCTGCTGGATCATCTTCAACAGCAAGAGGCCAGACCTGAGGAAACTGCTCTGGAGGAGGGGGATAAAGAAATTGAAGTTGTCTACTTCAAAGATTAAGGAAATGTGTGCAATGTGGCTTAAAGTGCAAACCTTTTTTGATGAAAATCACCCTCACACAGCTATTGCAAGCCGTGCTGGTGACTACTACACTGACAATGTTGTGAAACACTTTAGGAATGTCATAAAGGAAAGGTAGGTACAGGCCTCTATGGACAGATATGTTGTGAGACAGAGGTCTAGTGACTCTCAAGCTGGTCCTAGTGGCATTAAAAGAAGAAGGGAAGTAACCCCGGAAAAGGACTTGCCACCTCAAGTCCTAATGGAAGGGGATTCCCCTTCTAAACATTAACACCATCCACAGTCTCCCCTCCTCCCATCCCATCAATCATCACCAGATCTTCAATAAAGGTAAGTGTCATGTAACTGTGTTGTCTTCTTCAGTTTGTGTGTATTAAAATTAATATTCATGTGGTAAAAATTTTTTTTTTCATACTTTGGGGTGTCAGGAACGGATTAATTTGATTTCCATTATTTCTTGTGGGGAAAATTAATTCGGCTAATGATAATTTCGCCTAACGTTGAGCTCTCAGGAACGGATTAATATCGCTAGGCGAGGGTCCACTGTATATTAAAATTAGATAAATTGAGCATTGATGTAATATATTGTTATTATTTTATTATAATGCACAGTGCAGTGCAAACACCATTATAAAGGGTTGTGGACTAGATAAAAATGAAGGATAATTTTCACCGGGTTTGATATTTACAGAATTAAGAATACAGTTTAGAACAATGTGATACAAAAATTAGAAATTTGAGCAACTCTGCAATGTAGGAGTTTGTTTGTGTGCTGCTTAACCTTTAAACTGTCCAAACGTAGATCTACGTTCACGTGTGTAGTGCTCTGAACGTAGATCTACATATTTTTTTACATGCTTTCAAATGGAGAAAATAAAGGTCGGAGCGCTACGCACGTAAATGTAGATTTATGTTTGGACAGTTTAAGGGTTGATGTGACATTACGTAGATTCTTCCTAGTGTAATTTAATTTGTCGGGCAGTATTTACCCACAAAGTTTTTTCCTCCTGTTTCTAGAAGCCCACTGCTGCAAAATCTGATCTTCACTCCACCCCACCTCATGGTGGGAGTGAAGTGAAGTTGAGTAGTTTTAGCTTATCTTTTAATATAGGTTTAATATTCTGAATCTTTCTCTAATTTAATTTTTAATTTTTTTCATTTAAAAGCAAAGCAACCTGGTCAACTCTGATTAGTGCAAATAATTTTTTTTGTTTATGACAACACTAATTTAATGAAGTACTAGAATTTTGATTTGTCACATTGTGGCAAACATGACTTCTGCCAAGCTAGCATCATGAGCAATTTTTATGGATTTATATATGATGAATATTTATAGAGCTAACCTGTTCTCAGGTGATTCCTATTAATTGCACTAATAATAATAATGATAAAGTAAATGATCATTCAGACATACTGTATACATCAATAATACACTAGTATCTAAACAGCTTAATTAGCCCTTTCACTGTCATGACCATTAGAATATAAAGTGCTGTCACCGTTACAAATTAAAAAAAAAAGTTTTCTTTGTAATGGTAGAGAATCTTTTTCTGAAGGTAATGACACCAAAATACAATGGAAACTGAAGAAATTAAGGAGGGTCAAAGTTGGCACTCTTGGGCGCAGTTTATTCATAAGATTTACCCAGTTCGAGTCTTATTTCAATCGGGCGTTTATTCTATGTGCTAGGTGAGCACCCACCAAAATTGGTAAATTCATCATAAATATTAAGCTTCAGGATATAATCATGGATCATAATAGGAAACAATTTTTCTGTCCCATGTTATGAAATATTTGTGGCAGCTGTTTTAAGATAGCACTGCACACCCCCTAGTTGTATCATGCACAGTGGACACCTTGTAACAATAACCCACCATACACCACTAATTTAAAACCAATTCCATTGCTCAGGTCAACCAAATTCCTCATTATTGTACTTGTATGTGCAAGATACTGCCCATTTAAGTATCAGAAAGAAAAAAGTTTTACCCTATTTCTCTGTTAATAACATACTGTATAACCAAGAATGATTGGTCATGGTTTAGGCCATCCAAATAATTGAAGCAGACCTGGTTAAAAAGAAAAACTCATAAAATAGACCGTGGGGGTGGATAAAAAGGTCTTCTACCTTTCCTTGGAAAAATTGCCAAAATTCAAATGTTTCCCCTACTTTGAGGCTTATTTCAGGCCACTTCTGGCCTGAAAGTAGCCACTACACAGACCTATTTTCTCATGTATACGTCAAAATTTACCAATCGTACAATATTTGAGGGCACTATGATTAAGACATGCATAGTATACGTAAGAGCCACTGGTCTCAAAAACTTGTTATATATGTATATGGGAGACAGTGGAAGGGTTAATTTTGATCCATAAATTTCAGGATACTTTGTATGCCCCTCCTGCTTCTGAAGTAGCACTTGAAGAGCATTGCAAATACAAATATCTCTTCAACTTCAGGGGAGTAGCTGCTAGCTTCAGATTCAAACATTTATTCCTGTGTCGCTCACTTGTTTTTCATGTGGGTGATGAGTGGATCGAGTTTTTTTACCAAAAGATGAAACCTTGGGTGCATTACATTCCAGTTAAAACTGGTGCATCAAAAGAGGAAATCAGGTATGACCATTTTTCTTATTCTTCTCAATATGTTTGTAGTCTCCTTTTCAGTGTGATGCCTTGAGTATGATTGGCTCTAAATTCAAAGGATTGGATCTACCCTCCCTTTCCTTGGATCAAACCTAATTGCCTCCCATTTCCCTGGCACACTGTATGATCCTTGTGGATTTAGTACTACCCACTGAATGGAATAATTCTCGGTAGGATTATGCATGCATATCTACAAATATTGCGGTGATGGATAATTGTAATGCCTTGTATATGTGAATTGCATAAATCATGTTGAAAGTGTTATTTGTCATTTCTATTCACCTTTAAATATCACACAGCTTAGACCTGCACTATAAATGTGTCACTGGGGCAGTAATTGGCAAAAACTAATGCAAATTATTAGGGATGTAATTTTGGGAGATTTTATTTAACCCTTAAACTGTCCAAACGTAGATCTACATTTGCGTGTGTAGCGCTCCATCCTTTATTTTTCCCATATGAAAGCATGTAAAAAAAAGTAGATCTACATTCGGAGCCCCCCTGCACGTGAATGTAGATCTACGTTTGGACAGTTAAAGGGTTAAATTTTAGAACAGCCAGATATAGTCGGCAGATCAGCATAATTTTCTTCTTGTATAAATCTCAATCTCGACTGAAAATTTTTTTTCTTAACAACGTGTTATAAAGGAGAGGTTGGCTTTTTTTTTTTTTTTTTTTTTTTTTTTATCATTACCCCAAAACAGATATTGTGTATGTCAAAATTGCCCACTAGACTTGAAAGTCCACAGAGTCCAGAAAAGACAAGGAGCATTCAAATTCAAAATAGTTTATTGCATCCATTTGTATAAAGAATAGTCATACATGCTGAAAAATATGTATTATATGCAATAAAGCAATTTTAAAAATAAAACAAAATTAACAAAATAATAAAATGAAAATAAACTGCATGAAGTAAAAAATAGTAACAGACAGATTTAATAAGAATCTCATTAGGGAACTCAAGAATTTCAGTGAAAATATTTTCACATCAGGTTTTGTTTTTAAGTTAATGAGAGTGGAAAATCCTTATTCACAAAGATAATATGTAATTGCAAATGGCAGAAGTATTTTTATCGCTTCCTTGTGTGCAGTTTTGAAAGCCTTTGCAGCTCTTGACATCCAAAAAAAGACATCCGCATTGTTCTAAAATTCAATACGTACTTCATTGTTGGAGTGAAATTCAAGAAGTGTGTGTGCCAATCCTTCAGGCTCTTCTGGCACATCAGCAATTTCACAGTTGAAGGGATTCACAACCCAACTCACAGCATGTGAATTAAGATCTGGAAAGTACTCAGAGAACTGTTTTCTGAGATTGGTAAGATGCCCTGTAACTGGATCCTTGATGTCACCAAAAGAAAGATCTTCACAATCTTCCAAAAATATGGCTAACTTTGGAAAGGCTGCTATTTTGTTTTGTTCTACTTTCTGGCTCCAGACACTAAAATCTTTTCTCTGGCTTTAATAACATTGATGTTTTTTCCTTGCAATTCTTTGCTCAATGCATTCACATACGCAAAGATGTCAGCTAAATATGCAAGATGTGAAACCAAAGAGGAGTTTGTTATCTTGCTTTTGATCAATCAGAAAAACTTCAAGGAGTTTTAAGAGCCCAAACTTCATTCCACATGAAAACCACCTCACTTCTGTGTGATAAAGTAGGCCTGAATATTCCACCTCTCCATTCTCACATAATTCACAAATAGCTGCGTGTTTAGTGCATGTCTTTTGACAACATTAACAATCTTGATAACATCATGCATGACGGCTTCCAATGCAGGTTCCAAATGCTTCACAACCAGTGCCTGGCACTGGATCATACAGTGGGTAACTTCAATTTTTGGATTCTCCTCTCTGACCAAAGCCAAGAAGCCACTGACATGAACCAACATGGGGAGCTCCATCAACAGACATAGCAATGTAGTCTTTCCACTTTAAATTAATGTTTGGTGTTTTGAAGTATTCATTAACCTTGTTGATGACATCAGTGCCATGAATCCTCAACTTGAGAGGAGAACAAAATAAAATTTCCTTTTCAGTTGCATTGGAACCGTTGTAGCAAATATACACCATCAGCTGCAAATTGCTATTGACATCTGTAGTCTCATCAAGTTGAATAGCGATATGTTTGCTCTCTTTTACTGAAGAAATCACTTGTTCCCACACATTTTCTACCAAGATGGAAATTCTATCTTTTACAACTTTTGCAGACAAGAGCACTGAATTCAGTCACATGGCTTTTTTTCTGACCACACATGATCCCTGCCATTTTAACAGCTGCAGGTTTAACCAACTCCTGACCAATAGTATGTGGTTTCTTGTTTTGGACAATCAATTCAGGCCACTTCAAAGCTAGCCCTTGATGCTGAACATTGATCAAATGTACCTCTCAAGTTGCTGTCCAGTCTTTGCCTTTTGATGTACCTTTCCAAATTCACAAAGTTTTCCTGTGGTTTGGAAGACAGATCTGAGTGCATATTATCCAGATGTTACTTTGCAAGACTGCAGTCTGTGCTTTCAAACAGACAACACACTGAGGTTTCATTTTTCCTTTGTCTTGTATTTCTTTGAAGCCATAATCGACAAACTCTTCCAAGTACAGTGGACCCCCGCATAACGATCAGCTCTTAACTTGACCAATTATGTAAGTGTATTTTTGTAAGTGCTTTTGTAGGTGTTTTTTTGGGGGGTTTTAACTGAAAGGGGGAAAAATTTAATTCACAATATCTCTTTGGGAACAAATTCGGTCTTTTTTTTGGGAACCCAAAACAGACTTCTGGATTGAAATATTATTGTTTGGGGGGTCCCCTGTATGTCCTTTTTTTTTGGGATCCCCCTCTGAAGGGTAAAAGTAAAAATGCTGAAAAACAGAGGGAAAAAAAAAACCAATTTTAGCTTTTATATAATTTTAAAACATTGTTACTCAAAAAGCCCAAAAATTTACGAAAAGGAATCACAAAATTTTAGAATAGAAAACTGCCAAACATTTATATGGGGCACTTTAAAAAATACAGTGGAACCTCTATTTTGCAAAGGTGCCCACATGAATTTTTTCCCCCAAATACGAGCAGTGATGGGTCGATTTTTTTTCCATATGCGAAAAAAAATTTTCCAAAAAGCGAGCAAAACCTCAAGGCAGGTTCCTTGACATTGGGGGAGGGGCTCTTGCCCTTGATCTCGGGAATTGTATCTCATTTGTTTGGGGGGGACTATTTTTATTGAAATTTGGGTTATGTATGATGGAAAGATGCTTCTTAAATACCCCAAAATGAAAAAAATTTAAAGATAAATTTGGAGTTCACTTCCGAAAATTAGCCACCCCTTTGAGAAATTTCCCAAATGGCTTTTATGGTTGTTTTCTCTTTTTTTTTTGGTTAAATTGATAAAATGGAATATATTACAGAAATAGATATGTTTTTGGATTGCTTTCACGAAAAAAAGTCCCTTGAAAAAAAGGCTAAACCTAGGAAAAAAATGGCCCAAATTGCTTGGCTTTTTCCATTTAAAAAAATGAGTCACTGCCCCTTTCCCAAAATGGGCAGTCGTGAAGGGTTTGATTTTTATTTATACAATTATTGAAATAAGGAAAAAACCCTTTAAATCTTATATTAATTGTGTGAAAAAAAATTTTAAAAATTATTTTATAAAAATTAAAAATTTAATAAAAATAAAAAGATAATAATAATATTTTAAAATTAAAAATTATGTTTTAATTAATATTTTAAATGCAATAATAATAATAAAAATTTAATAATAAATTTTTAAAAATAATAATACTTCTTTCTTTTCTTTAAACACACTGGCTGTTTTTCCCACCGGGCGGGTGCCCCAAAAAGGAAAAAACAAAAATTTTCTCCTTTTACATTTAGTAATATATAAGGAAAAGGGGTTTATAAACAAAGGGGGAGGCAGTTAGGGTAAGTTATAAAAGCTTTTGGGGGATAGTTTGGGTAAAGGAGCTTAGGAAATTTTGGGGTCAAAAAAGAGGAATTGGGGTTTAGGTTTTAAAATTTTTGTAGTGTTAGAGTGTTCAGCAAAGTTTGGGTTACAGGAAAGTGGGTGCGGGAGGGAAGAGGAGCGTTTGGGTGGAAGGGATGTTTGAAAAAGAGAGTAGAAGGGGAAAAATTTTAGCTATGAGAAGTTTTTACAAAGTAAAAAGTGATGCAAGGAGGAAAAAATTATATGGAAAAAAAGAGAGAGGTTAAGAGGGGGTTGAAAGCAAAGTAAAAAGAGAGCAAAAGAGAGAGTGGGTGAGAAAGTTATCAACAAATTTTGTTTGGAAAAAAAGAAAAAAATTTTGGGGTCAGATTAACAAAGGGGGTTTAAAGGGAAACCCGAGAACAAAAAGGGTTTGTCAGTTAAAAATAGGAGAGGGAGGTTTTTAAATGGAGAGGGTTTGAGGTTTTTGGGAAGATGGAGGTAAATTTTGAGGGGGGGTTTTAAAATTTGATGAGATAGGGAAGCTGTGGGTTTGTGTTAGGGCAAGGGGAATAAAAATCTTGCAGGGGTGAGGAAGGCCCGTTGTGAGGGTGGAGGAAAATTGTTTGGGGGTAGGTTTAAAATTTAAAAGGGGGGAAGGGGCCCGGGGTTGTGGGGTAAAAATTTGAAATGTTAAAAAAGGTGGGGATATAGTTTTGGAAATGGTTGGTGAATTATTTAATAAAAAGTTGGGAAAAGGGTAAAGGGACCTAGGGGGTTGGCCCGAGAGCATGCATAGTTTCCTTTTTAAAAAGGCCCAAAAGGGGGGAAAAAAGAGTGCAAAAAATTTTTAGGGGGGGATAAGTCTGTTGGTATACCCGGGAAAGTGTATGGTGAATTATTATTGAAAAAAATTTTAAAAGTAAAACGGAGATAGGATAGCAGATGAACAAGGAGGTTAAGGGAAAAGGGAGGGGGGTGTGGACCAGGGGGTTTACAGTGAAAAATATAAGTGAAAAAAGAAATTTTGATAAGGCTAAAGAGGTCTTTGTGGATTTATGGATTTTGGGAAAAAGGGGTATGACAGGGTTTTGGGTTTGGGGGGCAAACCCCTGGCAGATGTTGCAGGTGTATGGTTTTAGGAGGTTGGTTATGAAAACAGTGAAGAGTTTTTAAAGAGGATGTGAGGCTCAAATTAGGGGGATGTAGAAAAAGGGGGGGAAATTTTTTCCCAGTTAAAAAAGGGCCCTTTGGGCAAAGGGTGTGTGATGTCACCCTGGTTTTTTTAAATATTTATTGATGGGGTTTTTAGGAAGTAATGCGAGGGTCTTGGGAAGAGGCGTGAGTTAAAAAGATAAAGAATCACGCCAAGTGGGGGGTTGTCAAGTTGCTCTT